TAACCCATGATCCGTCTACCACTGAGGATATTTCACGTCAGCACTGTGGTCGGTGCAAGCCGAATGCGAAATTCGTATCGACCAGTCATCGCTGGGATTGAACCCTAGTTCACCTCTTTGGAAGGCGAACGCTCTATCCCTCGAGCCATTGCGGCTCTATTTTTGATGTTGTAGTTCATTTACGTCGCACTAGAGCTATGCGCTATTGGCGATGGTCTGGGAAACATCCCTGAGGATGATCCGGAGACATGCCATCACAATTTTGATCCTCTGCAGAGGGGATGGCACCCCCGCATTCGGTAGCCCAACGACCTGCGCGCGAAGTCGAGCACTTTACGGTGGAACAGTTTAACGAGGACCCATACCGCACACCCTCTGTCCCTGCGCAAAGTGATCCAAGTGGTCACCCACCCGCACACTGACGGCAGCCAGTGATGTTTGACTTCAGTGATCTGCTGGGAACCGTGTCTTAACGATCAGTCCACTGCGGGATCAGCGTTTGTTTTTGACAAGGTTCTTAAAAATATTCATTTAGAGCTGAACACGATATATATGATAGTATATTCCAACTTCTTACATTTGATATATTTCAAAAGAAGAAATTCCATCTTTTATCCATCTTCCATCTTTATTATTCCATCTTTTTATTTTTCTAATTTTAGAGTCACATTCAAGGAAAAAAACTTGATCAGCGAAGCGAAAAATCGGAAGTCTAAGTGACGCAACTTTTTCTGTTTCCGCATGAAAACGAACGCTTTTATTCATCTTCCATTCCTTTAGACCTACTAATCTCAATTGTTTTAAGTTTGTTTCTTTCCACCACTGAAAATAGACATAACTACTGTTTTTTTTTCTCCGGGTAATCCTGTTTTCTTGAAAATGTTAGCCACAGGAAACCAAACTAACAATGAAGTAGCATCAATACCCTCAGGATTATTAGGAAAAGAAAATAAGATGGATAATTACTTTTTTTTTCTCAAATAACACTGTTTCCAAGAAAACGTTAGATGGAGGGTAACTACCCCTCTAGCAGAAACATTCCAAGCAGCTGCAAATTATTACTACCCATGCAGATTATTTATTTTTTTTATGTAAAATTTTTCCCTATTTTAAAAAAGCAAACAAATAAATGCAAGAGGGAAATTACTGAAACTCCATTTTAAACTTGTTTTAAAAACACAAAAACTAAAGATTTTTTCTTCTGTTATTTGACTAAAGGCTGAATTGTATAGGAATTTATTTTAATTATTTTAGCATCGCTGTCTAAGAAGAGAGAAAGGGATACTAGATTGCGTTAGTAGCTTAATGTGTTATCCAAACTGCACCAAAATGCACATAAAAAAAAAATTTAAAAATTATTATACTGATAACACATGCATGTTTGATTTTATTCTTTGTCAGATTAAGTCTTCACCTTTTTTTCAAATAACTATTTTCTCTATTCCAATTTATAACAATTGGTTTCAGCATTTTTATCTATAGCGTAGGTTCAAATAGTGAGTGTCCCCTTCCCCCAGAGTACGCGATTCAGATTTTCAGAGGAAGAAAGTACTGAGGAGAGTTTTATTGAAGTTATACTTCTTATGCGACTTCCAACAAAGTTGCGTTAAACGTTTAACGCAACATTTTTATTGGCCGGGAAATCGCGTGGTAGGATCCAGTTTTCCCTCATTCATTTCCATATTGTTTTGGCTCTCACTAGCATAAAAATAATAAAAGTCATAAAAGTATTGTTTTTCTATAAATATTTTCTTAGTTTGCTTCGATACACATATAATTTAATAGGGTAGTATTTTTTATTTTCAAATTTAGTGGATAACAATTGTAAAAAATGAGTGAAAACAATCCCACGGACAATGCGACGGATTTAAGGTTATGTCAAGGTACGTCTCTTGTGAATATCAATTGATTGTTTCTCTTCTGAAATTACCTTATGACGCATTCACATACATTATTAATACAAATACATTTTCCAGGGCGAGACGATGAGGCAACCACAAGCACTTCCATTGGTTCAAGAGGTTGACGAGGGAAAAATGCACAATATTACCGTGATTACAGAGCACGGAAGGGAGTGGAGCAAGAAAAAGAGTCGTTGAATAGAACTAGTGATTCTTCTACGACTGCTGATTTTTCTACAATTAACGTCGCAGGTTGCGAAGTTTAACTTCTTCCGCGCGGAGGGACTCCACGCACTATTTTTTTAAATTTTATAACCGTCGTTGAACAGCCGACCCAGTTTTTTGGGTTTACTACCACTAATGTTCAACTCCGAAGCCTTGTCATTTTAAACAAAATCCCGAAGTCAAGGGAACTCCTGGATCGAGTATTGGGAGAAATTTGCTTTCGTGGAGTTAGCCTGACGGCAAGGGGAGTCTAACCCATGATCCGTCTACCACTGAGTATATTTCACGTCAGTACTGTGGTCGGCGCAAGCCGGATGCGGAATTCGTATCGACTGGGATTCGAACCCGGTTCGCCGCATTGGAAGGCGAACGTTCTATCCCCTGAGCCATTGCGGCTCAATGAAGAGAGTTTTATTTTATAGTTTATAACCGTCGTTGAACAGCCGATCCAATGTATGGGTTTACGACTACTAATGTTCAACTCCGCAGCCGTGTAATTTTGAACTCAATCCAGAAGAGAAGGAAACTCCTGGACGGATTAGTACCCCCAGAGGTATTGATTTGTTATGGGAACATGGATGACTTTGCGGATGAACAGATTGAACAGCTGGATTGAACAGATTTAACGTGCTTCAGTCACCATTTACTAGACGGCCGGCGGGGATCGAACCCACGACCTCTTGGACATGGGTCCAGTGTCCTGCCGACCAGGCTATCCCGGCCCTTACAGAGGGGAGTTTGAGAGAATCGTTAAATGATTCAGTGTACATTAAAATTCATCGATATTTTGGTTTAGTATCGAAGAATTATTTAGGATTCTAACTCGCCATATAATATTTGTTTTTAAAGTTGCTATGCCTTTAAAATTGTGTGCCGCCCTAAAAAAGATGAAGACTATACTCACTTGACGATTTTACAGTTAAAACACTTTTACCCACGCGACTTTCCTAAATTTCACTTAAAAGGCTGATATATTCTTTAAGTAAATATGCAATGGAAAGCGAGAAATTTAGAATTTGAGAACATAATTTAAATTTTGTTCTTTTTCTCGTCGTTTTAACTTATTTTAATAAGAAGTTTCTAATATATTTTTATGTTAATTTATATACGTTTTCTCTTTTATTTAATTATTCAAAGTGATATTTACAAAATATAATTAATTTCGGATATCCTATACTGCTTGTTAATATACCTACCTGATTTCATATTGAAATATATATTTCCGTTGATATTATCTGCACTAAAAAACGCATGGGTTGCAGTGCAGGTTGATCTGTAGTCTAAACAGCAGAGTGACGGGCCAAAAACTTATTTTGAATTAAATTTGAAGAAAAAAAATTAAAACAGTCTACATTTTTAAAATCAGTGGTGAATTATTTAAAGTGTTGGAAACCCATTGTCTATAGTAAGCGACATTGTTGTACTGAAACTTCTACGAAAAATTTGCTTCCGTAAATTTCAGATAAAAATATCTATTTTAGTACCTTTGATGGCTTGCGCACCTTATTTGTACTTCATCACACTTTTCAACTGTGTTCAAGAGTAATAGTAAACAGTGCGCCCGCGCCGTCATTGCATGCGTTGCTATGGCGACCGCTGCTGTTTGATAATTTTTTAAAATTCTTTTTTTCACTTTTAACTTTGTTAAGTGGGGTGAGTTTACTTTTGAGATATGGGACCAGAGAGATCCCATAAATATTTCTTGAGTTGTGAATAAAAGATAATTTCATCATTTGAACGATATTTTTGTTTTTATTGTTTTAATTAAGAATCAGAAATTCTAACCTACAGTTCAAACTAGATCGTTTTCAATGCTAATTCAGGTGAATATCACAAAAAAAGCAACAACAACAAAAATCATATAGGCAAAGACCATTTTGCCTGAGGGTAACCTGTGATCGCCTTTCGGCGATCAAAATTTTTTTAATTAATTTTTCCTACTAACGAAGTATAATTTAGAAAGAAACTGAGCAATAAATTTTTAAGACCTGTTTTTTTTTTTTTNACTAGATCGTTTTCAATACTAATTCAGGTGAATATCACAAAAAAAGCAACAACAACAAAAAACATATAGGCAAAGACCATTTTGCCTGTAGATAACCTGTGATCGCCTTTCGGCGATCAAAATTTTTTAAATTAATTTTTCCTACTAACGAAGTATAATTTAGAAAGAAACTGAGCAATAAATTTTTAAGACCTGTTTTTTTTTTTTTGGAGAANTATGTTTTTTTTTTTTTTTAACACTGGAAAGTTTTTCTAAATTTGATTATTAGAAATGGACTTATTCCATTTTTAAGAAAAAATTGTTTTGGCGACAAAATTTTATCCAAAATTCAATTAATTACTTTAGCGCTAGAAAGACTGAAACTTAGTATATAGTACCTATATTGCCCAAAAGCAGTCAAAATGACTGCATCGTGGAAGAATAACTAATGTGTAAAGAAATTTGTTTAATTAATTTTAAATATTTTTTTAATTTTATTTACAATTATATAACAAGTTACTAATATATATCATGAATAAAAAAATTTACTGCACTTGGAAAAATAAATAATTTATGCATTATTATTAGTACATTTTTTGCAAATGAAAAAGCAACTGAAAAGCAGTCAAAACGACCTGTGGACATTCTAGTGCTAAAAAAAAAAGAAGTTCGACTTAAAAGTAGGCAGTTGCGAACAAAATATGAGATCAATAATTTGCAAAAATTTTATCTTTTTTAAAAAAAAAACGAAAGAAAAACATTTGGAACATTTAAGAAGGGCCATTTAAAACACATTCCTAGTTTTAATGAAGCCAATGCTCATGAAGGAAAGATTTGCATCTTAAGCGGGATAATCAGCCAAATGTGGCGTGCGTAGGTGGAAGAAGAAGAAGATGCAAAAGAGAAGAGATGTAGGTAGAGGGAATGAGGCGTGACAGAAACTATAAAGGAAGCTGACCTTGTCCCCCAAAATTCATTTGTAGTGTCAATACCTTTCAAGTCAAGGTCTTTTCTCTCTCTTAATTGGATTGAATATGGGAAGGTAAGTTCAAATAATGTTTCCAATTGTAATTAAAAATTAATTAATTCATAATCAAACATGCATTGTTTATGTTTTTACCGTGTACACGGATGCCAACTGCTCCGCTTCATGGAATTGTTTTTTAATAAAGTGGTAGCAAATTATATAGTAAAATTCGTCAAGGAAGGATAGTTACGCCTGCTTTTTAATAGAGTAACCAGTAGATGGATGCTTTAACGTTTATATGATACTTATAATTTTTGATACTTGGTGAGGAAAAAATTACTTAAAATGAAAAATTCTAAACTAAAAGTAACTTAAATTTCGCTACCACCAGAAAGTACTACTATTTTATAAAGCGGAGCAAGTTGGCATCTCTGCGTGTATTTTTTAACGTGCAACAAATATAGCACATTGTTGAATAGTTCGAAAAATTTACGGAATTTTTCTTATGTGGTAATTTTTTTAATTTTTCGTTATTATGCTAAAATACACCAACGGTTTATTATAAACGTTTGAAAATATCAAATATATCCTAAAAATTTGATAATTTTTATTTAGATTTTCTTTAAAAAAATTAAAACTTTTACAGTATTTTGCGCTATATTTCCTCAGAAATTGATAAAAAAAATTGCGCTCTTTATTAAATTGAATTGTCAAAGCGGGTTTTACAATTCAAGCATAATATTATGCTTGTTTTATAACTTTTCTGCAAAATCCTTAATAACTCATCGATGCAAAAAAAAAAAGGGTTTCCTAAAAATCTTTACAAAAATATTTAATGTTTATTGTTTTTAAAATCATATTTTGTGCGTTTTTATTTTGAAATTCATAAGAAATATGCCTTATTATTACATAGACATTATTTTAAATTACAGAATTTTTATTTAGATTTTTTAAAAAAAATAAAACTCTTACCGTATTTTGCTCTATATTTTCCGCAAAAATTGATTTAAAAAAATTACGATCTTTATTAAATTGAATTATCAAAGCGGGTTTTACAATTTAAGCGTAATATTATGCTTGTTTTATTTATTTTATAACTTTTCTGTAAAATCCTCAAAAACTCATCAACGCAACAAACGGTTTTCCGGAAAATCTTAAGAATATATTTCATTTTTATTCTTTTTAAAATAATATTTTTTGAGTCTTTCTTTTGAAATTCATAAAAAATATGCCTTATTATAACATATTTTATAATCGTCGTCGAACAGCCGACCCAATTTTCGGGTTTACGACTACTAATGTTAAACTCCGTAGACTTGTCATTTTGAACCTAATCCAGAAGACAAGGGAACTCCTGGATAAAGTATTGGGAGAAATTTGTCTTCATGGAGGACTTTTTTCGATGGAACTAACCAGCATTTGCATTACATCCTTGGTTTCTTCAAATGATGTAAATTTCTGCTCAGAGAGACTACGTGCCATCGACCGGATTAGGTGATAATCTGAGGCGGCAATGTCTGGTGAATACTGCAGGCGGAGTAGAACTTCCCATTGAAGTGTTTCCAAATAACAAAATCGACGTTCAATGTCTCTTGGCGAAACCCAACTTCCTTGTTTTGGGATCATTCCCAATGATTTTATAACTATGTGAAATTGAAAACTATGTGCTAACCCAATGATCTGAAAACTATGTGCTAAGTCACTTTATATTTTATTTTATAACTGTCGTTGAACATCCGACTCAATTTTTTGGGTTTACGACTACTAATGTTCAACTCCGTAGCCTTGTCATTTTGAGCTCAATCCAGAAGACAAGGGAACTCTTGGATCGAGTATTGGTAGAAATTTGCCTTCACGGAGGACATTATTGATGGAGTTAACCAGCATTTGCGTTACATGGAGAGAAAAACCACGAGAACCTCCCACGGTTAGCCTGACGGCAAGGGTACTTTTACCCATGATCCGTCTACCACTGAGGATATTTCACGTCAGCATTGTGGTCGGTACCAGCCAGGTGCGGAATTCGAATCGACCAGCCATTACTGGGATTCGAACCCGGTTCACCTCATTTGAAGGAGAACGCTCAATCCCATGAACCACCACGGCTCTCTTAAATTATTAACAAAATATCTTCTTCAAAATATCTTTCTTTTAAATCGCCCTACTTAAGGATTATTGTAATCAGCTTATGGAAATCCACTCTGATTGGATAATTCTGATTGGATTCGAGCACTCTATCCCCTGAACCACCACGGCTCGAAATAAGATATTAGCAGTGAAATAAATAAAATAAAAAAAATAGTATTTCTTCCATATTACCGTTCTTTACTATCTAACTATTCTACTTGCTTTAGCTTTATTTTTATACACGTGAAAATGACGTCGAACAATTTTGTATGCTTAATTTTACCCGAAAAAATGATCTTGCAAATGATACATTTAGACTATAGGTGCGGATTTTAACTGGTATCGAATATTTTATTTTATTTCGATGAGGTTAAAGAACTGCACACCCCTTTCATTCATGCATGCCTCTGCTGGGTATTTGTTATCATAAAAAAGAGTCCTATTTGAATTTCTTAAAAATTTAAGAAATTTCAAGCTATTTTTTAAGTAGCGTTCGTACTTTTTTTTTAAAAAAAAGGCTCAAAATAATAAGGATTTTCCACAAATTTACTTTGGTATTATTAAACAAGATTTATTAAAAATAACACTGGTATCGGTGGGAATCATCCCCCTTAAAAGCATCTTTTCTTTAGAAAGTTTTCCTTTCTTACACAATCATATTTTGATGTTATTGTAAGGAATTGTCATTTGCTATTTAACTCTGTCTCATGATACAAAATAAAGTTATAGCAAAAAAACCTAAGAAAAAAAAAGAAAAAAGAATTGTGATCGCCTTTTTACGATCACTGGTTACCCATTAGTCAAATAATTTTTTCTTTCTGGTTTGACTGCGTTAAACGCCACAACATTTCAAATCATGGGTTGCAAAACTGTTGATGTTTGTCGTCGGATTCGCTTTCATATCCTGGCTATATACGTGTTTCAAGACGTCCCAAAATACTTTCCCTTCTTCAGCATTCATATTTACATCGAAATCAACGTCAAGCAAGATATTGTAAGTTAACACTAGAAAGACTGAAACTTAGTCTATACCTATATTGCCCAAAAGCAGTCAAAATGACAGGATTGTGAAAAAATAACGAATGTGTAAAGAAATTTGTTTAATTAATTTTTAATATTCTGTATATTATTTACAGTTTTGTAACAAGTTATTAGTAAATATTAACAATAAAAAAATTTACTTCACTTGGAAAAAAATAATTAATGCATTATTATCTGTACAGTTATCTGTATGTACATTATCTGTACAGTTATTATCTGCAAATGAAAAAGCAGTCAAAATGACTTCCTTGGGCAATCTAGGGTTAATAATAAAAAGAATACAAAAATACTTTAAATTATTATTAAATACATTAAGAATGACTGTTGGTGAAAATAAAAAAAAAAATAAAGAATTCTAAGAAAATTATCAAATATGCGGTAGCCATAGCAACGCATGCAATGACGACGCATGCGCACTGCTTACTATTACTCTTGAACATAGTTGAAAAGTGTGATGACGTCCAAATAAAGTGCGCACGCCATAAAACCCAAAACAAGATCCCTTTTGCCAATGGATTAAAAAAAAAAAAAATAGCTTTCTTAAAACTGTTCATATCTCCATAAATAACTAAGCTAGGATTACTCAATTTTGCGCAATTATTGCATAAAATAACCAAAATAATTGTTACAAGTTACAAATCTATACCTACATTTTTTGGCATATAGTGTTGTAATTTACTGTCTGTTCCACAAACCTCTAAAAGCTTTAAATTTCAAAGAGAAGTACGAGAAATTGCATGATCTAAACACTTCCGAAGTTATAAAATGATTATTTAATTACTTATTGAGAAATATGAAAATATGCTCAGAAGTGTTTCCATTATTTTTTCTACCCTCTGTATATGTTATACAAATTTTTTGAGCTTTAAATTTTGCTATTTAAAAAATTAATTGTTTTTTAAAATTTAATAACTCATGAATTTTTTTACTGTGCAAGCTTTAAAAAGTCAAATATATTCTTTCATGAATTTAAAAGTTAAGAAATCCGAAAGAAAAAAAAAATAGGATGAATAAATAAGCACAAATTTAAATTAATTCAATAAAATGAAACTTAAATACTTTGTAAATATTTTGCATAAATTTGACTTTTCCTAATAAAACTTGAAATATAGTTATCTAGAAAAAGTTAAAAATGTTGGAACTTAACAATTTACTCTTTATGCTGTGTGAGTGTCAACTTTTTTTTTCTTAAGTATTATCACCCTTTTTTAATCAAAATTTAGGTGTTACTTAATGCTGCCCTAAATTTAGTCAAACATTTTGAAAGTACTACCAAACTTAGCCTAAGTAACTCAAGAGAAACTATTTGTCCAGACGTTCAGTAATTTTGAAATAAATTGCGTTATAATTTCATTATTGTTAAATATATATAAAGTTAAAATACGGAGAAAGCATGGAATATAATAAAAATTAACGAAAAGAGCAGAAGAAAAATTATTGAAATAAAATATTTTTTAAAATACTTAAAAAAATTTTATTATTTATTTATTTAAAAAAGCCAAAAAAAAAAACAAAATAAAGAAAAGATATAATAACTTCATTTGATCACACGATTATAGCAGCAGAAAGGAGTGCTCAAGGATATATAATCGTGTGAGCTGATGAAAAGATATCTTTTCTTTATTTTGTTTTCATGTTTTTTGAAATAAATAAATAAAAATTTTTTTTAAATATTTTAAAAAGTATTTTATATTAATAATTTGTCTTCTCTTTTCATTAATTTTTATTATTTTCCCTGTTTTCTCTATATTTTAACTTATTTTATGAGTACTATATGCTTTTAGTTTATGCGCAGTTAGTAAAACATATTCTCTTATTTTTCTTCGTTTTTCTCTCTTTTCTTTATTGTACTATATTGTGTGTGTTCTCCCTATCTTTCACTATATATATGTATATATTAGAAGGAG